GCTTTACTTGAATGGGATGGAAGAACTAGCAAGTAAATTCTAACTTGTGCTTATTGGAATCCCCTAGTAATGCGACCTAGATATTTTTGCACCTGTAGACTTTTTTGTCTTTGAGACCTGCCTTCATATTAAGCTTTAGAAAATGTATGTTGGTGTGCAGTGATCCAGTTGAGCAAAGGAAAAAGGAAGCAGTTCATAAATAATAATAAATATTTCTGAGATCACAATGTGAACAGATGAGAAAAGCTGCAAACTGAAGGGCCAAGCTGGCCTACAAATGTTCCATGTAAAAATGCTTTTTTTTGTTCCTTGTAAATTTATGAAGCTTTTATTAAAAGTTTTGAAAGAGGAAGGAAAGCATTGGGGTCATTTTGTATGTGGTTTCCAGAGTGTAGTGATTGAAAAATGGAAGCTGAACAAATTTTAAGGATTTAAGAGTCTACATGCTGTGCTGTGGAAAAGTAGAGACTTGAGTCTTTGGTTCTGAGCAGCAAGGAACATGCTTTGGTGTGGCTTCTGAAGGAAACACTCTCCATGTATAAGACTGTTGCTTATTAAAATGGGAAGCGTTCTCAGTTTTGTTTTTATCTGAGATATCCAGCAGTTAATGTTTCTTAAGCAACTTTTCAAATGTAAATGTTTCAGGGAAGGTAAAAACTGAGAGATGTCTAGAAGTATGACATAATTTGTATGTTCTTCTGTCATCCAGTTAGCATATATTATTAGGCGAGTGTTAATGAGAGCACTGAGTCATGCTGACAGCTTGCTGCTTCCAAAGGGACAGTATCTGAACTTCATCCTCTCTTTTTTTTTTTTTTTTTTTTCCCCCCCACTTGTGTGATTCTCTCCTTTGTGCCTGTTCACACAGCCCTTAGTAACATGCAGCCATTGGTAAGTCAGTTTTTCTCACTAAGCAATGAACAAAATAATTCCATTTTTTCTTTCCTGCCAGTTCAGGGAACTGACCTGACTCATCAGGCACTTTTTCACTGCTGCTAAGCTTTTAGATTGGCTTAGTTACCTTGTGAAGCCTCACTCTTAGGATTTGGTTATAGTGGTGCTGGCTATCTCAGAAGTTATTATCCAAATTTGAAGCTGCTGATCACTTGGGAAAGACTAGGAAAATAAAGTCACTGTTGCAGGTTTACTGTGACAGCTCTTGAGGTTTCTTACCTCTTTGGTTTTTTGTGGTCTTTAGAGCAGCGTTTTTGGTCTCCATTTACCCATCTCCTCTTTCCATTGACACCTCACCTTATGAAGTGTTCACACATCTTCTTGGTCTCCTTTATTTTCTTCAGCTTTTGTTCTCAGACCCTGAAAAATTAATCAAAACTGGATTTCTCCTGCAGTCCTGGTAAGTGTTAACCTGTAGTAAGGTTGGTGCTACAGCTAAGCTGAATTAACACTTAGCTTCTTCTGAAAGGGTCATTTCATCCCTTCTCTGGCAGTCTGTTCTCACTGCTTCACTTGGGCCAACTTTGGTGTTTGATACTGTGATGAGCTGGTCTGGGGAGCTAGGCAACAGAACTTTACCCATAGATTTAAGTTCATCTGGCTCTGTCAACCAGCTCCCCACAGGGTAAAATGAACACCAGGCTTGGCCTAAGGATGGAGAGCCATAAACACACAGGCAGGAGATGGTTCACAGGACTGCTAAAAGGGGAGAAGCTGGGCCATCTGTTTTAGCAGTAGTTCTCGATTAGGTAGGTATGACTGCAATGTCATTCCACATCCTGAAGGCAAATACCTTGCTGCTTTTGCTTAAAATTAAGTGCAAGGAGGATGATCTATCACAACTTTTTTCTCCGTGGGATGCTTCTATAGACAAACTTTTCAGCCCTTGCAGCTTTCTTCCTCCCTCATTAGGAGTTCTAATACACTTTATTAACAAGAGTTTGTATTAGCAATGTTTTGATTCTCTTCATTTGCCTCAAATATTTTTACATTAACCTTGTCACAAATGTATGATCGAATACAGCAGCACATTAACTATACCCTATAAATTTAAACCAGAACAGCCATGACCTCTAAACAGTCTGTTATTCTTCATAACAATCAGTTGCATTTGTATTTGCTCTGCATTTTAAGTTTACGAGGGCCAGAATTCCTAGTTTTTTTCAGCATCGGTAGTTTTTAATTTCTCAGTGGAGGTAAATCTTAATTTTGCTGCCAACATTGTCCAAGCCAAGTTGGTTGTTCAGTTTGCAGACATCTGGAGTGCCAGAGGTGAACCTTAAGATACTGTGTTATTTCTTCATTAATACTTATTAAACCATGTCTTTTTGTAAGAAGAAGAAACAGCTGTAGATTTAAGAGAGTTTATATTTCTTAACAGCATTAGAAATTTCCGCTTAGTATGCGTCTGTTCATTTTGCCAGGATTGGCTGTTTTCTCTTGCATTAACAGCTAAGCAGAGCAGCTCACAAGCTGTAAAGGCTATTATCTTTAACTTGGATTTACATATTTGTGCTCTGCTGAGTAGAATAATCTCTTGCTTTTTAATATACTGTTTTGTGGCATATAGCATAAATGTCACATGCCTTTCTATTTTATGACTGAGAGAAATGAGGCCCAGTTTATTCATTCATAACATTCATGTAAACCCTTCAATACTTCTCCTTTTTCATTTGAGTTGATTCAGATTTAACACTGTAGCAGTGTTTTTCATATCCAACTAGCCACTTGTGTCCATATCTGCTTTACAAACATCTTGGATAGTTACTTAGCTTCGCAATAATTGGCAAGGTATTTATTGAGAAAGCAGAGCCTTTCAGTTTGCCAAGAAAGTTTGAAGACAGAAATTGGAGAGGAATGACAAGTAGGTTAAAAATCAAGTCACTCTTTAGTAAGGAATATATATGTGTGTATATATATGTATGTGTGCTTATAGATAGGAGCGTGTGTGTATGTGTGTGTTGTTATGTTTTTCAGCATTTATCTGAATCTATCAAATAGGTGTCTACGTATATCTAAATATTGTTTCATGGCTAGAAACTGAGCTTTATGTCAATATAATTTGTTGATTTCTACTGTGTCAGCATAGAAGAGAATGAATTGAATATGTATATACAGGATTCATCTGTGAAAGACATATCATGATTTTTCTTTTTTTTCCTGAAGCAGTAGGGTACAAAAGTACCCTAGGATTATGCTCTTCAAAAGGCTCCGTAACTGTTTTTTTCTTTGTGTTATTATTTGCTCATGTGTTGTATTAGGTACCCATTAAATGAAGTAAAATGCTCATCAGAACATAAGGACTCATTCAGAAACACAAATGTAAAAATAAGCACTGTTCATATGCAATGTGAACTTATTTTGGGAATACAACTGTATTGCACTGAATGAAGGTAGTATTGCCTACCCTTTTAGATACCAGAGTGTTTAGTTCTTGGTATTTGTAGCAGTACTCACTAAATCAAAGTATTTCTGAAGCCTTATCTTAAGAAAGTTCAGTAACTTCACCTTGAATAGCCCCATTGGAATTTGAAACAGATTTATGGCAGAAACATGTGGTCCAAACAGCTGTCATGCAAAACCATTTAAAAAAAACCCTGGAAGTCTGGTGAACTCAGAAATCTGTTGTGAATGTTGTTTCGACTTTTTTATTTTTTTTAAATGAAGGTAATACTAAATACATCCTTCAAGGAAAACCTCTAATGTGGGTCTTTTACATAAAGCCATAGCTAAAATAAACTGGTGTGCTTGGACAGATGTGCCTTTTTAACATAGGGCTTAAGGACTTCAAATTTATAGCTCGCCTTTCCTGTGGAATTACAAATAGTTTGATATTGTACGTCAATGGGTGCATAAAAGTCACAGAAAACAAAACAGGATTTGGACAAGGGTCAGAGAATGAGAGAGAGTCAGCATGAGAGCATCTGTCTTATGTTACGATCTTGGATTTGATTAGAAAATTTTAAATTCTGTCAGTATAATCTCTCCAAAGCAAAGTTCGGAAATGCCAGTTTGTTTCCTGACAACCACTCTGTTTCCATTACCCGGCATACTGGGAGGGGAATGGGAGGTCCAGACTGCCTGGGGAGAAACAGAGCGAACTGTTCCCTATGCTGCTTTCCAGCACTGGAGCATTTCCCCCATGTTGGGGACACTTGTTTCTGACCCGCCCTGGCCTTTTCCTTCCTATCTCTTGAATGAGTTAAACTCTCGGGGAAATAAAGGGAGAAGGTTTGGTTTAGTAAAAAGAAGAGGGAGCCTATACTGCAAAGGGTAACAGGGCATTCAGATGACATCTACCAATTTTTATACCATGTGGCTTACAATAAATTCCTGCAAGATTGAATATATTATTAAAAAAAAAAACCCAACCCTAAAACCAGAAGAAGCATAAGCAAATTTTACAAGATTGTCTGAATTTTAACATTTGAAAAATGGTTTATTTGAAGGATTTTGCTATTTTTAATGATTTTGTATGGCAGTGTCAACTCTTAAGTGGAAAAATAGGTGGTCTGGAACGGAGAATATTTTGAGTGAAGCAATAAAAGGAAGTGAGAGCGTGTAAATATTTCATGTACCATAATGGACGGATGAGATGATAGTAGACATAAGTCAGAGGTGTAGTCATGACACAGACATAAATAAAACAACATCAAACCCACCAGTTTTTAGTGTAAGAGTCACTGGAAGAAAAAAAACCTTATATTGAAAAAATAAAATACAATTGAGGTGGTACCATTCCATGTGACAGTGGATAAATACATGCTTATTGGTCTGACTGCATGATTTATCACAATAATGCTGTTAGTTTAAGAGGAGTTCACCTCAGTCATCCTTTGATTTCTTTAAAAGCTGTAAGGTTTCATTAAAGTACTCCTTTTTTTTCTTTTCTATTTTTTCCTCTCTAAATAAGAATTTCTCTGTGGCTAATTTGCAAATGCCAGTTAAATCATGAGTTTTAATATAGTATTCAGAGAGCTTTTTTTCAAATAAACAGCATTTTATTAATTGTTTTCCATTTTTTTTTCTTCTGCCTCTCATTTCAGAACGGTTTGATCACCACTGTCCCTGGGTAGGCAACTGTGTGGGGAAAAGAAACTACAGATTTTTTTATATGTTTATTTTATCTCTGTCCTTTCTGACAGTCTTTATATTTGCATTCGTTATCACCCACGTCATCCTTCGTAAGTATGCTGGTGAAATCAGATTACGTATGTAACCATTTGCTTGAGTTTTTTATTTTTAAGTTAATCTTTTGATCATTCAGGGTTTATTTATTTATTTATTTATTTATTTGCCTTTTCTCTGAAGCTTCACAATCCCAGTGAGTACCATTCTGGTCTGTAGTAGACCCTGGTCATGGTAGTCATTGACCTAGTGCTGGCTTTATCTTAATACAGTGTTAATTTTCTTAATTTTTTTGTCCTTTTATGGATGATTTATTGGAAAAGCAGCACACATACTGCATGTCTAAGTATACAGATAGTCTCATTTTCCCAAAGAACTTTTGTGTGCTTTTTTAACTGTAAGCATGGGTCACTTGCCATCAAAACAGGTAAATTACTAGGAAATAGGTTGGAGCTATTTTACGCTTTTTGTTGTTTGCTGTTTAGTTTTACATCTTTCTCTACCCTATTTTTAAACACAAGTTACTTTCATTTGCATAGACATTGTGAGAATAACCAATTCATAATGGAGTGAATCAGATAAGCTATAGGAAGATGAATATTCATGAGCTTGAGATTGATTTTTATTTGTATTCTGGATTGGGTTTGAGGTCAACACTCTTTTGGGTACTGTCTTTTTTTCCACACACCTAGCAAATTTTGGTAGCTTCTATATCATGATGATGTTCTAATTTATGATGATAGGTTATATGACTTGTCTTTAAAGATCTTTTGTATGTTGTGTGGGTTTTTTAACCCACTATCACTCAGAAGCTTAAGACTCTTCTATCTTTTCACTAATTATATAGGCTATTGCCTTGAAGAGTATTTCTTTAATCATTTTGGAAATGTGATCTTTTTATTTCTTTGTATTCTGTATTAAAAAGGAAACCTGATAGAAGTAATAATTTCAGTTTATAACACGTTTATAAAGCTAACTTGATAACGGCAATATTTAGAGAATGTTTTACTGAAAAATATGCCAGATTGTGCTCAGTTTCCTAAATTGCTTATACTGTGCAGGGAAAATTTGTATTTTAAAAAGCAGAACTCCTGCTGTTATTTGTGCCTCACAAAAGAGAGGGATACGAGCACTGAGCGGCTCTCCTTTAGCTCAGAAATCTAGCACATAAGCTAGAACTAGGGGCACCTAATTTTGAGGGAGTCTGGATCAACAAGCTGTTCTCACTGCCAGATACAGCATTTCTTATACCTGTTGAAAGAGCAGAGATAAGATGTACATATTGTTTAAAAAGGGAAATGTAATTATCGCAAAAAGAACACTTTCCATTAATAGTTAAATCCTTTACATTTATGTGGGCTTACACATGCACACTTTTGACATTTAAGAAGAAGGAAGCATGGGTTTTTTTCTGTCATCTTACTTTGCTAGAATTCAGTAGTTGAAAACATTACCAGTCTGACAATGTAAAGCTACTTTTGAAGCTAGCCTACCTTTATTTCACAAAGACTACAGTGCTTTTTTTTCTTTGGTAATTCATATGCTGAAAAATAATATTATGCCACTATTTCGCATTCTGTATGTCAAGTAGATTTATCCAGTGGACTTTAAAGTGTCCATGCCTAATTCTAAGTATGAATTAGACAAAGAGCAGAGAAATTAATTGTGCCTCTATGTGGTTGAGAAGCACTTTAGTATTGTGTAGGTGTTACAGATAATGTATAGGAAATGTTAAATGCTGAATTGTCTAAGTATATCAGCTGTAGAATGTTCTCACTGTGGAGGTTTATCTACCTTGGATGAGACAGGAAAAAACTCTTTAGTTCTAAAGATTGGTTGGTCCTCAAAGGCAATGGGAGCAGGTATGAATTGTGATTAGTTCCTCAATGTTTATTTACTACATTTGAGCTTCAAGCCCAGCTTTCAAATTTATCTACCATATTCTTGACTGTGTCCAAAAAAGCGTTCTTTACAAATAAGGTTTTCTTATATCAATCACTCCACTCTCTCTGTGCCTACCGTGCTTCTAGAAGTCCTCATATCTACCTTTCTAATAGTTACTCAACTATTTTTATTCTGTTTTGCAGTCCTGCCATTCTTCAGCTAACCAGTAAGCAGGATTCTCAGTTACTTAATCTGAACCTTTGCGCTTGGCATAGAGTGAAGCGTGTTAGTGTGTCTGAATTAAGTCCCAGTTTTTAGACCTGGGTCTATGATCTTCCTTATGTATTTCATATCAGTCATCCATATGTGGTTCCATAAGTCCTGGCAAAATTCTTGATTCTAGAGGAAGTCCTGCTGACTTAGTCAAATCCTGTTCTTAGCTTTTCTGAAGATAATCCTAGGAGGATTACCTTCAGCAACACTTTATTCTAGATGCCCTGTGTTAGACTGAATGTCTTCTGACAATATTCTTTTAGGAAGGACTGGGGGATATTTAGAGCAATTTGTAGGCATTGACGTTAAAAAAAAAAAAAAAAAAAAATCCCTTTTGGTTCATCCTCATAGGGAAGTTCCTTCTCTGACATTGTTGATTACATAGGAAACCTATTTTGGTTTTGTTTTTTTAAATGTCTCTTGATTTAGACAAATTTTGGAAATTTGTGTCTTTTTTAATACATCTTGCCAGCTGGCATTTTTATAATTTTGGTGGGCCTAAGTAGTGATGAGTTATGAGATACATCTTAACTTTTTTTTTTCTGTGGCTTTCTGAGGCATTCACTAGAAATTTGCCCTTTTCAGGATTATGAATATGTGCACATGGTATTACTGAAGATGGTAAAATGAATTTGTAAATCAGATACTTTAAAGGTCTTGTCTTGCAAGATTTCCTTCCATCTCCCCAAGCTGAACACTTTTTCAGTAGTAGTGTCTGTCTTCACAGTTGCTCAGCTCTGTTTGAGGCATCAGTATTTTAACTGTTTGTTGCAGTGAGGAGCCTTCCCCTTCTGATGTATTGGGAACTGCTTGGAAAAGTATGACCAGCAGTAGGGAATAGAGATCACACCTACCTGCTGCCATTGCCATTAAGGATCCTAAAAATAGTAAGAAGGTAGGGGAAGTTCCATTAGTTTTGTGTCATGAGGCTAAGAACCAGTTATAAGAGTCTGAAAAGGGTCAGAAATACAAGGTAAGTAACTTTCCCTTTTTAATGGCAAACAGTAAAATTGACCAGGCAGGTCTAGAGAATATATATGTGTATATGCGCACACATATATTTTTTTTTCTTATTTGTTTTAAAGACAAGATTCCTCTTTCTTCATAAAAATCTTCAGATGAATTCAGCTAAGAGGAAAATTTTTGCTAATTTCAGTCTGATGGCATTTAAATCACTTAAGTTATACAGTAAAATGCAAACTAATTGCCTATAGCTATATGACATTAAGTCAGTTTCTACAAACTAATTCTTTTGTTGCAATCAGCAAATTGTCAAATTACCCTTTTTGATTAATATTTCATGGTTGTGGAACCCAAGTGGATGCTTCTGTATCTCTAGTTCATTGGATCATGCTGCTCTTGAGCGCTTTTCAGTAGTAGATATTCTCTTACTTGCCTAGAGGCAACAAGCACCTAGTAGAAAAACCTTCTGTGCAGGTGCAATAGGAGCAGGATTACAGTCTAGACAACTTTGGCTGCTTCCAGAACAAAGGAGGGAAAGTTCAGAATCTGGGTTTATAGAATAAATTTTCCAAGTCAAAGAGTTACTTTGAAAAATAGTATTTCAAAACAAAAAAGTAGCTTATAATTTTTAGTTTCCATATTAGGTCTGAAAAGAACAGGGATGATCAGAAATCTTGTTCATGGGAAAGTATGCATGTATCAATTTGGTATGACTGAGAAAATATCCTGCAGATGTTAGACCTGATAACTTACCCAAAGTTTTTTCCATGTTGTTGCTGCTGAGCAACATATTCTCAGATTCATATTAGTAAAACTATTCTATGATTATTTGGTTGATCTTCAAATATTAATTGTGTTAACTATAGTGAAAACAGCTTGTAGTCCAATTTCTTACTCGGCTGGTAATTTTGGGTTCTATTTCTACAGGTTCTCAACAAACAGGGTTCCTCAATGCCCTGAAGGACAGTCCTGCAAGATATCCTTTCACTGAAACAAATTGTAGATCTTGTTGCAAAATAACATCTGAGATGTGTTTTTGCTTGTTTTCTTGCTATTGTTGGATATGTGCATTTGGGACTTTATCAGTTAATGATTTCATCACTTCCTGCACAATAGGATTTCTCACCACATGTTGGAGGTAGGAAAGAGACTATAGCCTGGGGTGGTTTTTATTCTTCATCTTTTGCAGAGTAGTACTCTTGACAAAGGTCTGTAGTTTCTATGTGTGATGGAAATATGCTCCATATATTTGTGATGGAATTCTTAAATATATCTCACACTATACTCATGCTGTGGTTTCATTAAAAATATTCAGTAATTCTTCTGCTTTTACAACAGAAAGCATCCAAAATGGCTGATTCTTGTCAGAATAGAAAAAGTAGATTGTGGAACAACTGAAACGATAAGCTGTCCCTGAAGAGTTCAATTCCTGAATGTATTCTTATGTTGATTTACTGTTTTTAGAGAAGTTATTTTCAAGTATCAACTTCTGTTAAGTTACTTAGAAGTATACACATGCATACACAGGGACTACTATTGTTCAGCCTGGAGAAGAGTCTGGGGAGATTTCATTATGGTCTTTTGATATATAAAGGGGGCTCATAAGAAACACATAGACTTTTCAGCAGGGCCTGTAGTGACAGAACGAGAGACAATGTTTTTAAACTGAAAGAGGGTAGATTTAGGTTGGCTGAAGAAAATTTTTACAGTGAGAGTGGTGAGACACTGGAAGAGGTTGCCCAGAGAAGCTGTGGATGCCCCATCCCTGGCAGTGTTCAAGGCCAGGTTGGATGGGGCTTTGAGCAACCTGGTCTAGTGGAAGGTGTCCCTGCCCATGGCAGGGGAGTTGGAACTAGGTGATCTTTAAAGGTCCCTTCTGACCCAAACCATTCTGTGGTTCTATTCTGTAAATACTCCATGTTCTTTTTATCACTTCACGGCAGCTTTCTGTATGTTTACAGCTTGGTGAGAATGGAAAAGGCTCCTTCTGTCTGAAAGCAGCTAACATAATGTGAAGCTGACATAACTACTGTTTAGTTTCTCCCTTACATTTCTGTATGGACTGTAAGCTTCCCACTCCTTATGTGTACATTTTGAATGGTTTGTGTCTCAGTAAACAGTTTGCACCTCTCACAAAGATACTATAAAAAAAAATTCTTTCTCATACTTGTGCCGAGGAAAAGTCTTTTGTCCATTGTGCCTCACACAGTTTGCTCTTTTCCACAGAAGAGTAGGAAGCAAAAACTCTGTCATTCATAGTCGTGCATAAGGACAGACCTCTCTTTCCAAGTAGTTTTTCCCAACTGTCAAATTCTCTAAATTCTGCAGATACAATTTTGTGTGTGTGTGTGTGTGTTTTCATCAGGTAGAGTCACTGAGCTGTAAACTCCCTTTTTAAACAAAGCCACTGTTCAGGTTTTTTTTTACAAATAATTTTACAAAGCACAAACAAACAGTTCTAAATAGCGAAACAATAGCTTCCAATTAAAACAATTACAGTCACTTCTTACAAAAAATCATTCTTTCAAACTATTTTCAAACTGAGAATAGCTTTCAATTGTCTTTAAATCAAAAGGTAATTGATTATGCATTTGAGGATCCTTGTACAGGAACAATGGGCTGCTTATTCATAATTTGTATTCAGAGATGTGCTGCTTTGAAAGGCTCAGTAGTGCATCTTGTAGAAATGGCCTGGTTTGATTGTGATAAGTTGGACAATTTAATAGCTTGGCTACAGTTCCTGACAGTAAAAAATTAAATTGTCCAAATAGTATTGGGAATGCTACTTTGGAGCAAGCCAGTCAATTCAGGCACAGAGAACATGGCCATTTCTATCTTGCTAATAACCCCCTGTGAGATACCAGGGGAGTGTTATACCATATTATGCTAGTAGGTTATATTTTATATTGAGAATTTTTTGTGTTTGGCTTTTCATTAATGGACTCATGTTTAATTTATGGAGTCATGTTAATCTAACATAAACCACCCCTGCTGTTCTAGAGGTCTTTTTGGATCTTGGAGAACCAAAAGAAGTCTCTTTCTTGGGGAAAGAAGTCCCTTTCAGTGGGGAACCAAAAGAGGTCTTGAACTGAAAGAAATGCCCTTTTTTTGTCGGTAGGAATTACGCGGGGGGGGGAGAAACTCACTTTTCAGGACTCTTTTGAGTGTAATCATGGCAAGGAACATCCTGTTAGTGGTGTGCTCTGTCATCTGATGAGGTTGCAGGGAGCCCTTCTCCCTCTAAGGTTCCCCTTTTCTGATCTGGTGATTCTTCCTATTAGTCTTGGTGTATAGACTCTACCCAACACTGCTCATCTACAGCCTTCCTTATGGTTTCTACCCTCTCAAAGCCCAGTTTGTGTTTGGGCTGTTCCCTTCTCTTACACCTTTCTGAACCCTCTGATAACAAGAGTCTACTTCCTTATCCATTCTCCCTCATTCTCCTTGCTTTAGTTGTGGCTGTTGCACAGTCAGCTGAGACTGAATTCCTATCTTGTGTTGGTTTGACTCCACATAGTTTGAGGAAGAGATGAGAGGGAGAGAGTAGTGAACATGCTGCTCAGCAATGCACTTTGGTCATCCTGCTGCTTTTGAGGCAGATTTGCTCAGAATGCAAATGGCTTTTTTCTGGCTTTTAAACCACTCTGAGTGAAGTAGATTCTAGAGGAAGTTATACAGACAGTTCAGGTATTTCCCAATTCATTAGGTGAAAGCAGACCTGCAATACAAAACTCTTCACTGTTAACTAATATTAGGATCATTTATTGCAAATACTTACATCCATTCATGCATTTTTCCAGTCTGTGTGTCTGTATAATGGTGAGGAGCTGTCATATTTCTCTTCTATTGGCAGGTTCAGCAATAAGGATGTTTTTGTATGTTTTAAGGCTCTGTCCTTGTTCTGGAATATTTTGAGTTGATGTTGTCTTGGAAACTGACTTCACTAAAGGTTGATATATGGTTAATATACAGATAATTTTTATCCTATTCTTTTCCCATTTTCTTGTTCCTACTGTTTTGTTCTATCTGTTTTTCTAGGAACCAAAGCCTTTTCTGATGTTGATTCACATTCTCTAAAAAAAATTCACTATTGAAGTGTTGTAGTAAATATCATTCTCAAAGCAGATGTATTCTGAGTCCATGGCTATTGTGTGTAAATAAAAAACTATGGCAGAAAGCCTTCTGTAGAAAGTTGCTCTTTATGCTTGGTTATATAAAGTTTAGAAGCAGCTTTATTGTCTTATTTCTGAGATGATGACTCCTTTAGAGGTAAAGAAATGATGTAAACTGTAGTAACTATGCAACACTGAGTGCTGACTGACTTTCCTAGTATACCAATCTCACTTTTAAACCCTGGTTACTGCTTTATGACATTTGGGTTATGCAGTTTCTAAGGAGTGAAAACACAGGCAGTTTGAACAGTTCTAGTGGTGCGCACACGCGTGCATATGCACAACTGTCGCTACCCTCTTGGAGGTGTGGGTGCTCTTGCTTTATGTGTACCTGTGCTGCTCCCTACAATACACAGGTGAAAAAGCACCCCATGAGCTCACATACGTGTACCTCAGGTGCAAGTCCCTGTATGTCAGACCCCGTACTGGCAGTCTGCTCTCTGGATACACATTACCAACAGCATTTGACAGGGAGGGTGCTCTGACTGGGCTAGGCAGATGCCAGCAGAGTCTTGTGGCTGTACCAAACGAAGTTTTGCCTGCTGCTGTTCCTACTTCAAGTTCTCTTTTGCCATTTTTTGTGATTTTCTTGCAATTCGGGCTGATGCCTCCTCCTGCTACTGTTTAATAGCAGCACAGTGAGTTGGGAGTTGACAGTCTTTCTCTTTCACATGGTAAGTTTTGGGCAAATGCTGCTGAGTTTTGAGTATTCAACCCCACCCCAACTATTTACACTCACAGGCTTAACAGGAGTTGTTATCTAGGCCATTTGCCAAGGCTGGGCCATTCAGGCACCCCCACAGTTGTAATGTAGAATATATCCAGTTATTAGAGGGACTTGAGAGAGCAAGTGGGCTTTATTTTTTACCTGGACTAGTGTACTTTGCTAGTGTTAGGATCCCTATCAGCATCTTAACTTCAGGAACAGAAGAAAGACAGGAGTGTCTAGCAGTTAGAACATATGACTGAGATGCAGTTTACTCGGTTGTTGTTGTTGCTATACGTATAAGCACAGATCTAGAACCCTTAGTCCTGGCTCAGGACTCCCATTGTGCACTAAATATTTGTACAAACTTATCTGTTCAGTCTTTGCTATTCAGCTAGCCTTGGGGTACCTCTCTTGTGTTTGATCTTCCCCTCAGCCCATCAGAACTGTTATTTACTGTTACTTATCAATTTGCCTGTCTTAATACAAGCATGATGACTTTTACAGGGTGAACATGAAAATATGAATTTCAGCAATTAAGATCAGAACCACTCATCAGTAGTTTCTAGACTTTTTCAATCTGCAGACCCTTAAATATTTGCTACTGTAGATGCTATTCAGTGGCCTGTACACTAAAGCCTACTTGACAAGAGGCTTGCTTTTCTGAGTTTAATTTTTGCTGACCCCTTTGAAGTACCCCAAAGATCTCAAGGGACTTGTGGACCGTAAGCTGACAACCCTGAATTTTGTGATTATAACTACTTGTTATGGGATATATTTTTTTTTTCCATTTGCATATATTTCCTTGACTTTCAGTTACTGTGCTGGAAGCTGTGGTGTGTTTTTTCTCGGTATGGTCCATTGTTGGCCTCTCAGGTTTTCACACGTATTTGATCAGCTCCAATCAAACAACAAATGAGGATGTAAGTTCATAGTGTATTTCTACATATATGTTTCTAAATAGTAATGAGGAGGTTTTTCTCTGTTATTCTGAGAGAAGTCATACCTGCCTGCATAATTTTGTGAATGCCTCAGTAGGAAAGAAGGAAGTAACCTGATCATGCTTGATTTAAAATATCAGAAGAGATCTTTTGGACTATATTTGTTGTGGCTTGTAGATGTGCTGTTACATAGTGTGTCCATTATGATTTACACCCACAGGACCAGTGTCTTGAAATAGGAAAATGTAGAAGAGGAGAGACAAAAAAACAAGTGTATTTTATACAGTAGAAAAATTACTAAATAATTTTCAGTATCTGTTTTTCACTGGGAGTCCTAAATATTCTTTGACTCAAAAATTGCTTACTGTAAAAATTGCAAAGTGTGTTGAATTCTCAACACAAAATTTTCATCCTTTATTTTCTTTTCCTTTGAAATTTCTTTTCCAGTCTGAGATCTAAAACCTCTGACAAGGAGTATATCATTAATTTAAATGTCAACTTTCTCATTTCTACAGTTGTAGTATTTTGCACATAGTTTTCCATTGTTTTGGTGTGGAATTATGTTTAACTGTGTGTGGAGGCTTCATGTGTGTCCCCCTAACTAAAAGGAAAAATACAAAATGAATGAAAGGAGAAAATAAAAATAGGTAGCTAAGGGTATAGAAAGCTCATTGGAATTTAGCAAGTAATCTAACAAATTACTGCAAGCTTAAAATTATTTTATTGTAATTTTCTGTTGCACCTTTTTTCGTAGGTGTCTGGAAAATATAATAGTAGCATCTTTGGGACTGTCAAGCACATGTTTTGCTATTGTTTAAGGTCACAGTTAAAATTATAAATTTTACAATAAATACCAATCAACCAGAAAAAACTTAACAAGCAGGCTCACAATGAATTGTGCCTCAGCATCAAGTATCCGAGCATGTAGCCTGACTTTGAAGAAATCTACCTTGTCAGTAAAACAGTTGAGATGCTCTGATATTGCTCAGTTATTAGGTTTAGGCCAACATTGTCTTTCTAGATGGACCCAGCATGCTTTCACTATCTCCCCTTCCCTCAAATGGCTCTTGTGGATTGTTGAAAGTCAGATAACAGGGAACTGCAGCAGTGTAACATGTCTGAATTTCAAGTAAACTATTCAGTAATTTCATTTAAAGCATACATTTCCAGTTGGATACAGTAAGACAATTTTACTCAGGCTCTCAAGTATCTCACAAACAGAAAAGCAAGACTAGCTAAAAGAAAATGCAATATGTTCTAAAAGGTAGAAATGAGTGGAGTTGCTTCACAATATTTTAGAGCCATTTGTGAACTTTAGGGCAGATAATGTTGTGTGGTATTGCACAGCTTGAGAACTTACCCAAGAGTATGGAAAAGAAGTGCTCTATTGCTGGCTTTAATAGTATGTTGCAATTGAACCTCTCCTGTAGAACATGCTGTAATACTTGTAAAATTAAGCTTAGACCATTATGTTTAGATGCTAAAATTCCTACTGTGACTATATTGATCCTTTGAGATTTTGGGTTGTCTAAATCTATGGAGGTAAAGCATGTGGTTCCTTGTAAGATTTTAGGGTCCAGCATTTCATAACAGCCCAAAGCTCTAAGCTGTTTGGAAAGTGTGATCATGGGTTTTCTCTGGTCTGCCTCTGATATAAGTAGCATGTTGCTGCTTTGGTAACCCTTAATTTGCCTCAGCCATTTTCTGTATTGTATTATGCGTGATACATCTTTTTCATATCTCTTCAGATTAAAGGATCATGGTCAAATAAAAGAGGTAAAGAAAACTATAATCCATACAGTTATGGCAACATCTTTACTAATTGCTGTGCTGCACTCTGTGGGCCCCTCTCTCCAAGGTAAGAGTATCAAAAATATTGTTAGTAGAAATGAAGCCATGTGATTATTTATGAAAAAAATATTCTTATTGCTTGAGTTTACTCAACAAAAATAAAACTTTGTTTTACTGTCCATTAGAAGCTTTAATTAAGTTTTTCTTCAGTAGTAAAGTGATAAGTTGGCAAATTGTGGTTAAACTAAGTTAGTCATCAGATCCAGTAAAATGTATTTAAGGTTGACATCTGAAATGAAAATAAACTTGCTTATCTGTTGTTTGAACTTTTGCCACTGCAGTTAAAAACTTCTAGCAGTAAAGGATTTCTACTAGTTAGCTGTTGCATGATGGGTGATTTGAAAGTTTATTAAGCTCTTACATATCTAACAAATGTGACATGAGTTTAGGAGAGTTTAGGAACCTTAATTCTACAACTAGCCTGATAATTGTTCATTTTTGTCTTTTCACTCTGAACCGCTTTATTTAAATGGACGGTAATTCTTCTTTATTTATGCTACTGTTAACATATATACATTGAGCTGAATTTGGTGGTCTTACACTGAAGCAATTCCAGAGAAAGATTAATGGATTAATTTTTGCTGCATACATTTTCACTTTTGAAATTCAAATTATTTGTATATTCAACGTTGCTGATGGTTTTTCAGCTTGAACAAAATATAATACAGAGCTGAGACTAGAGAAATAAAACTGGCAGCTGGAAGGACTTAATTCTCTTCTTATTCCAATGCTAAGTGGTTAGATAGTTGGTGTACTACATGTACAATAGAGGCCCAGTTCCTCTGTAGACAGTGGCTGACATCTTGTAGATTATTTTTGTGGCATACTCATCAATAGAAGCTGTTTTGCTTTGTCTGGAATTATGTAGTTACAAATCTGAACTATTGAGAAGAAGAAAGTAAGTGACTTTATAGTCCAGTGGCTAAGGTGTTTCATTGGAAGTGGGATTTCTGTCTTTGCTATTATGAATATCAGAGGTGGTTCTTCTATGAGCAGTCAAAGGTCAACAGGAGAGACTGACATCTTTTCCTAAGGAGGAGACTTAACTGGGTTAAGATTTCCACATACTGGGTTAAGACTGTAATCCCTGTGGTGAGCAAGAGTAACCCTGTCTCTGCTTCCTGCCTATATGGATGGTGCCTGAAGCCAACCCTTTAATTTTGCCATTTTGCTTTTCATAAAAGTATGTGACAGAAAATCTCATTGCCATGCTTCAAATTCTTTTGTTTGACTCCAAATGGAAATCTTTATTAACAGTATTTGAAATAGCAGTTTAGGCTGATACAAGTAGCAGCACACAGGCTTTTTAACATGTTTGTTTTAACAGAGTTTGTACATTTTTTCCTAAATTCCATGTAGCAACATAATTTATTTAGAAGCTGAAGTATATGTAGAGTTTCTGCAGGGAGATATTTTGTGACGAATGGTAAAAATTTACTAACTGTAAAATGTAAATTATAACATTGCTTTTTTTTACTTTTAATCTCAGCTGTGTCCCAAGTCACTAAATATTAGGTTTTTTCCCTTAAATTCTGGTAAAGTGGCTTAGCAGCAATTAGAGCTTAAAATTCAAAATGTTCAATTGCTTTTGAGAATGGAATGCAGATTAAGAGAGGATCTGTAAATAATCCAAACTTTTCTCACTTCTGTAAAAGAACATGTTTCTCATTTTTAAACCTATGCTAGCAAATTCAGAATGCATTTTACATGTCCTCAACAGTAACTTTCAGATCTTCAATTAATCCATAGCTGTCAGCATAGGTCTAACTAGTGTTCTGGTGTAATAAATCATACAACTTTAAGAATCTGATTTTTAAGGAGTGCTTTCCACATGGCAGATTGTAATCTCAGTGGTTTTCTAAGTGTTTTGAATGTACATAAAAACCTGTTCTGCAGACGTTCACAAGTAAAGCTTAAACTGGTCTCCAAATCATGGAAACCTCATTGACTTTGGAGAAGGGAAATGCCTTAGATTTTTCTATGCATCCTGTTCTTATCTTTTAAAATTGAAGCCGTCTTGACCCTTAGTGAATTTAGAGGTCCTATAAATCAGCAAATAAAATCAGTTCGGTGCTGACTTCAGCTCTCAGGTGTCTTAAGGCATTCCTGTCATTATATCTTAGTAACTGGAACTATAAACTCTACAGTTAAAATTTGATATCCTGTGGTAAAATTTGTAGTTTTCCAGATGGGAAGTAACATTGTTCAGGACACAGGAAAAAAACATTTTGGCCTGTGATTCAAAATGTATGGAACTATAATTGAAACTTATATCTAATTAAAAAACAAACAAACAAACAAAACCCAAAAAACCCACCACCACCACCAAAAACTTTGAATGCGTTGAAGCATAAACAGTTGAAAAGTTTGGGGGTTTTTTTTGTATGGAAGTGATATAAGCTAATACACAGGTAGAATATAGTACTTGGGTCTGTACCTTCAGCTTTTTGTGAGTATTAACTAGCAGAACCTAAGTGAGGTTTATAGTTCTCAGATTGAGAGTAAAATTGTATGTGGAATTTTAGCAAAATCTTCAGCTAGGTCAGATTATTCCATTCTATTTTTTTTATAATCTTATGTAGATTTTTACTTATTTTTATTAATTTCTCCACAAAACATTTTCTTATATGGAAATTTTATGAGTGCATCACTTTAAGAATAGTGGAGCACTATAAGCAGTGTTAAGTAGCTGTCATGAAACACCTGGCAAGTAAGTTGTCTGAAACAAAGCTCCTCTTTCTTTCTAAATTTTGTGATAAAGTAGCTTTAACTTAGAGGTGTGGAAACTGATAACAAAAGAACCTTCAAAATAGATAGTGATTCAGAGTGCACTACAGAGTTTTGTAATTTGTTCTCACACCTGTGGTTTAAAACTCTTGGGTTTTGTGGTACCTGCTGGTAAGCTTCTAAATCTTTTGCCTATGACAAAAATCTAGAAAAGTAGCAGTACATATGACTGTGTGGCGGGTAGTATTACAAGGAAACAATTACCTTGCTGATGAGTAAAAATGAAGTCTTGTACTTCAGTTGAATAAAAGCGGACATTTGAAGGTATTGGCAAGGTATTAAGGTCTGTTGTATGACAGAAAATTTTCCTCTTTCATTTTATCCAGAGGAGGTAGTTATTGATCAGAAATATCTCTAACACTTTTTCTTTATTTTGATTATTCCTTAGCTTAATTGATAGAAGAGGATTTATTCAACCAGATACACCGCAATTAGCAGGACCATCAAATGGCATTACTATGTACGGGGCCACACAATCTCAGAGCAACATGGTAGGAATCATCCCATAGTGTTGTTCATCAAGATTCCTGTGAATGTTTTCCTTCTCCACTTTCATGTGAACTAATCAAGTAATAACTAACTGGATACAGCTGACACTCTGGGTGGAATGACTTGTTTATTAACAGTAAAGGAAAAAAAAACCCCAAGGCTCTTTTAAATGTTTGTTTCACACAGTGTAATAGTTGTTGCTCATGGATTCTAAAAAAAGAGAGGCTTTTCTACACTGTTGATTTATTGAATATACTGGCATTTTGGCTTGTACTGTTGACACCTGCTGTGTTTTGAACTGGAATATTCAAGTATCATGGACTTGCTCTGGTTCATCATTTTCCAGCTAATTGTTATTTGTATGGCACTTTCTTCATACTCTATTTCCTTCTTTGCTTGTACACTTCAGTTTTGCATAGACTAATGTGTTTTAAAAAGCAAAGATGAACAAGGAGGAGTTTCTAGGGGAGAAGTATGTTGAAGAAAGAGCAGGAGGACACTGAACTTCCAATGAACAAAAAATGGCAACTGGATTGTCACAACAAAAGCTTTTAAACATCTTTGAAACTGTGCCAATAGTTTTTACTGTGTTTTTTTGCTGGTAGCATTGGCTATCATAATGGAAGATAAGATTTCCAGTGCCAAGAAGAAGAGAGTAACTGGAAAGAGATCTTTTTCCAAAGGCAAGCATCTTACATATGTGCCTATTTCTGAATTGTTATCCACATATCTTCATATTATGTGGGTTCTAAGACTTTGTCAAAGAAGCCATGAGTTATGGACGCTCTCCCTCTGCCAAAAAAGAGGCGGCCACAAGGCCTTCTGACGTAATTCAGCCTTGCTTTTGAACAAAAGAAGAAAAGACTCACTCTTCCCAGACAGATTAGTTTTAGTGTCACTGATAAACTGGCATAAAAATTTTGCTGTAGTTCCTAAGCTGGTTTTACCTACTATTTTGAGGATTAAATAGAAGATTGGTTAGATTCCTTAATGAGAAAATGTATTAGAGACACAGTATTAACTCTGAATCTTTCATGAGGTGCAGTTGTGCAGAACAAGGTAATGCTCCATGCAAATTTTACTCAAAGAAAATGTAACTCTGAAGAGAAAAGGTTTTTTAAAGAGAGAGAGAAAGAATGAGAAAGCAAACCTTAGAAATAGCCTAAAGTCTTTCAGGGATTACCCAAACTTTCTGACTCTGTCAAGGCTTCTAATTTGTGAGGATCATTAACCCACAGTAAGTCCCTGGCATTAAATTATCTTAACTTTACAAGAGTTATACTTGCATTATAAGAAGACACTATCATTATTACTAGATATTAATGAGAAAATCTTGTGCCAGTTTGATAGAAAATTGACTAAATTTGTCTCTAGAAATGGAGAGATCTGTTATGGTATTACTTTAAGTCAAGCAGCTAACTGTTATGATTTTAGAGTTTAATACCTGTAATTATGCAAATTCTTTAAGGATTTGAACTTCTTATATCCTAGAACATCATGCTACTCTAGCTGGGAAAGGCTTGGGTTCTTTAACAGTTATCAGAGTCACTTGGAAATGTGTAGCTTTCATTCCTGAAAATGATGTCTCAGAAAAAGCTTGGAAAAAGTAATACGTCATATTTGCTATGGAAGAATATCTTTAAGACTGTGATGCTACTTTTCTCAGGGTATTATTGCTGGTCTATGTTCAAGACCAATTGGCTTCCAGTGGCAGCTGGCTATCAGCATTAAAATTTCTCCCTTGAGCTTTGTTGCAAACTGTTAAAGACCTGCTTAGTTTCCCAGTCTCTCTAGCACTATTTTCTCTTCCCTGTTTAAAATCTTGCATTCTTTCCTGAGTTGTTTGAAGCATAAGAAATTATAAATTCATTTCGTGCTGGCAACAATGCAGTGGGACATAACTTTGCCTCTGATTTGTTCTTGTTTCACATCTCCCTTTTTCAGTGTTCTGAGGTCAACATTTTTGCTCTTCTCAGTAGACTCTCTGCCTACTTTAAGGTTCTCATCTCTTCTATCTCATAAAGCAGCAAACAACAAAACTGATTTCCCTATTTCACAGTTAAGATCTCAGTCTCATCCACATAACAGACTTTCTTTTTTCCTACCAAAATTAATTCACCTTACTGCTAGCTTAGTTGTTTTCAGCCATTCTGTTCAGTTACCAGATTTCCTGTTCCAATTTAAATGTAGACAGAAATAATCAAGTCATCATTCTATTTAAACCTTTTTCCCATGAAGTGACCCCTAGTACTTTTCCAGGCTTTACAGTATCCGTTTCTCTCAGCTTTTTTTCCCAGTACACAATATTAGATTTTTCTGAAGAAGTTTGGGAACAGGAGCACTGGGAACACCAGCCATTCACTTGTTCTCTGCTGAAAAGGATGGTGGAAGATTCTTGAGTGAAAGGCAGTGGAGTACATTTTATGGCAGAAGTAAAACAAGGCATGTGGCATCCCATTGTCTGGTTTTTTTTGGTTGGGTTTTTTTTTAGAGGAAGAATTTCTGCAAGATTCTCCTGAATCCCTCTTGCTGTAAGTTCAGACACAAACATCAAGATTTCCTTTGGTGATTGATGGTTTAAATAATAGACTAGCTCAAGCCCAAGACTCCAGTGGAAGCAAGACAGTAAAGGGAAGGTCTTTGTGGAAGAAAAGGTTTCCTTTTTACCTTGTGTCATCACTGACAAAGGTTAGGCAAAAGATGGAATATGATTCAGTCTTCCCTTCTGGAAGGTTACACACCTCTTGGGAAAAAGCCAAAGGCATAAAATGAAAAACGCTTTCTTGGAGCTGAGGCAGGTGGACCACAAAGAACTGGCAAGCTTGAAGGGGATGTATCTGGTACTGCAGCTTGCATTATTGTGGTTTCAGATAAGGACAGACAAAGTGAAATTCCTTGACTTAAGAGTGTGTGTAGGTCATACTCTTAGTCCATAAATGCTTTTTAAAAGGCAGAGGTTTAGCCATTTATATGTCATCAGAGATAATTACACTATTTTAGCAAGTTTAACACTTTTGAGTACAGGAAGTAACTTATTAGAAATCTGAAGTGCAGTACACCTTTATGTTGTGTCTCCTTGGCTTTTATTCCAGAATGCTTTACATCTTCTTGTCTCTACATTGAATCTTTATGTCTAGATGTTATACTACTTAATCCATATAGCGTGCTAAAATGTCTCTCCTGCCCATTGATATTAAAAGGAAGATTTTAATGAGCATCTTCTCTCACACTTGTCTTCTCTTATTCCTTCCCTTCCTTCTTTCCTTTCTTTCTTTTCCCTTCCCTCAAATCTTTTACTCAGTGACTTGTGTCTTTCTAAATACAATCCTTGTGCCTCACCCAACTAGCCTCTCATCATTCTTTAAATCTTTCTGGGTTGCTTAGTATTATATTCTGCTTTCATTTATTTTAATACATCTTTTAGCATAGCATCATTTTTGCATTTAAGCTCAAAATAAATATCAGGCTAAGTTGAAACTTGCCAGACACTTGTTATCAGTGCAATACATTATCTCTTATTCAGGATACCATTTGTGGGGCACTATTTTTGTATTTAACAGCATTTGTGGTAGTTTTGCCTTTGAGACTTTGAATATTTCATATAGGAGCTACCCTACTCGTGCTAGTGACTCGGTTTGTCACAATCTCAGAAAGTCAGTGTTGTTGCTGTAATCAGTGCTTCACAGACCCATACTATGATTTTATTTTTTTCTCGATCTTACAGAAGAGCTTTTTCTCCTGTTCTCTCCTTAGTACCTCCCTTATTTTACTAGGAGCTGAAGTTGTGTTTACTTTTTTGAAGGCTGGAAGCACATGTAATTATTTTTTTCCTGGTACATTCCCAGTGTTTTTAATCTCTTTTCCAATATAATTTGAAATTAATCTGCTAAATTCATTAGCCAGCTTCTTAATATCCTTATCCATGTGACAAGCATGGTCACATGGAGATCATGATCTGTAGAGGTGGTATTTCTGAAGTATTTCCCTATTGCATTTTATTGCTGATTATTTTTACAAGCTCTTCATTAGTTTGATTGCCCAAGTATCTCTCTTCTCATTCTTAAGAATTTTTTTTTATGAAACACAGTATCTCACCCATTATGAAATCATAATTTTGTCTGTATTTCATTCTTTCTCTTTAAGGTTTATTTTCTTTGTATTCTGAAAAAAGTTCTTATTTCACCATAAACCCATCAGCTACCATTACCTAGATCTGCACTTCTGTAGTACTTAGCTTTCTCTTAAAAGCCTGAGTTAGTTCTTGGGTTTTGACGTAGGGTATTTTATTCTGTAGTAATCCATTATGAAGAAACACAGAATGTATCTCACTCCATGCACTTTTTTTTTAGAGGAATTAGTTTTGTTTATTTTTACTATGATGTCTCTAAGAATTCTCTAATGCCTTATAAAGTGATAGATTTTACTTCTGTCTGCCTTTGTGTCAGGACAGGTTTATTTCTTTGTTTTTAAAAAATTCGCTTGTACTCTTCCATATCTAGGCATCTCTTCTTCAGTGCTTAGGTAGTTCCTTGTGTGCCAAATTCCCTTATTTCCAGTTCTCCCTTTCCTTTCCTTTCCTGGATGCAAATTCTTTAGTTAGAATGTTTGTTTTCTTCTGATACGTACCACTTAAAATTGTAGGAACCATAATAGTGCATGCGCAACATTCATTAACAGCGAGACATGCGGGAAAGTCCTCTCCCAAATGTTCACATGTGTATTTCTAGCACTGATCTGGAAACAGGAATCCAGCTTATCCAGGGAATATTAACTCTGAGCATCCTAGCATACTTTATCCTTTGCTTTTCATATTCTCATTATTAGGAGTAAGTATTTCTATCATGACAGTAAAACGATCAGCAAGAACAGGAGCCCCACTTCGCTGGGAGTTTTACAAGTGTGTTTCCTTGTCTATTCACTGTCATACTTCACAAGTATAATTTATCATTGCCTGAAAAGTAACTTAGGGCTCTTACTGAGTCAACATGACCACAGTCAAGGTTGATAGAAGTTTTTCATTAAAGCATTTTACTTCATTGTTAAAATGGGTTAAGGGCACATGCAGTAAATCAACTTCAGCATTTTGCTTTGGGTTGAGATAAGTTTTAGACGAAATTCTTTTGATTGCGCATATTTACCCTATTTTTGTTCACATCGCAGAGCACTATCAGAGCACATGAACTAGATATCTTTCAGAAGGTGTGCTCCCGGAATGCACCCAGTATGCACTAACCATTCACGGACATTCAGTCCATGAAAACAAACAGTAGCTAGTCTGAAGTAAAATCCCTGGGACAGGTATAGTTTCCCCTTTGGCTTCAGAAGCGTTTCTCTTCATAGATTACTCCTGATGCACTGCACTACTTGCTAGTGGAGCCATTGACTTGGTGGGGTTTGTGGCTCAGTTGTTGCACAGTATCTGCAATACCATGATTTTGCATGTGAAATCCTACAGCTGTTGGGAACAGTTATACAGCTCCATCCCTCCACTCTTTACCCATCTATTGTATCCATCTACTATGGTATTTCAGCATCCTTTCTGTTACTTATAGAACTGTCATTCAGTGCTGTCAGTCTCATCCGAACTTCTTGTTTGTACTTCATTCAGAGATGCTGAGATAATTCGACTTGCTTTTCTCCATCTTCTGAGAACTGTAACAATTCTTCAATGTTACTAGTGTTTAGAAAATTTTTAACAAAGTTAATTCAAAGTAAATAATTTCTGGCTTTGGCATTTGAAATGTGAAAAATATATTGCCGTGTACAACAACTATGTTAACATGTATGTTTTGTGTAGCTTAGAAGAAAATAAGATTTTATTCAGAAAAAAAATGAAAAATATTGTTTCCTTAGTTGTTTGTATTTATTGTTTGTGAAATAAACACAGAATTTTAGGTTTTGTCTAATTTGCTTTAATTTGTGCCTTTTGATGTGCAAATAAATACAGAGATGGCTAAAAAATTCTATGCACATATGTAATTGAACTTCTGTACTTGTAGAACTTATTAAACTTGTCTTACCTTCAGAATCTGCTGTTGCTCTGAAACAGTAGAAATTGTAAGTGGGAAAGAAAATCAGTAGATCTGAAGTAAGAAGGTACTGGTGGAATAATTTCTACAGTAGATTTTTTAGCTATTTAGATTTCAGTGCTTGGCTTCCTTTTTTGTTACAATCATAGGCTTTTTTATTTCATTTCAAATGCTGGCATTGAATAATTCATGTGATTAATAGCTGTTAAGACTTTTGGCCCTACATTTCATTTAGTTAAGAGTGAAATATGGAATCAAGGAAAAACCACCATGCCAGCCCTATAAACAAATCTGATATTCTTGTTTAGTTTTGTGTTGGCTGTTTAGACTCAAGAATGGTCTACCTCTATAGTACGTGTTGTTTTTATCAGGTGTTTTTGAGAGCTTCATTGAACACATCTACCTTTTCTAGTATAGACCCCACTCTAGTTCACTTTTGAAAACTGTTGACAGCCTGTATTTTCCTAAGATATTTCATGTTGATCACTGTTAAATAGAACAAAAAAAAGAAAACCTGAAATGTATCTGAATAAAAGGAGAGGCTTCAGGGAACTCAGAAGTGCATGAAAATGAAGGAGAGATATACAGCACCTGGAAAAGTTTTATAACACTCTGTTTAATAGAGCTTTATGAGGCTACTTTACCTTTTTGATATTGATTCAGTTGAAATGCACTGGAGTTCAGTAAGAAGAAAATGAATTCAGGCTATACAACGAGTTCAAGTAAATTACCTTCAGCTAATTTAAAGCTGTGTACTTGTATTGCCTGGAACACATTAATGATTTCCTTTTGAAGATCAGTCCTGAAGCTTCACAAAAGCAATAAGTCAGCTGCTAACACTATTTGTTTTCAGTGTACCCCAGTGGTTATAGGCATTCCTTTATTATGTAACATGCTCTTTGGCTATCACTTTTCAGATAAGATGGATTTTGTTGGTCTTTCTGAAGTTTGAAAATTCATTTAGCAGATTTTTAAGGTCTGCATAGTAAGGCTGTTTGAAAGGCTGTAGTTTAATTGAAATAAGCAGGTGTGAATAACAGTGTATTAATCAAGAATGAGTTATTCACACTGAATTACTAATTGAAAGCTTGACTTTAAAAGATGCTGACAGTTTTCTTCTTAGTAAGGTACTTACACAAGGTTTTAGCTTTAATCCTGTGAGTAATCCCTTTGAAATGATATGGGACCACTTCAGTTGTTTGGCTGGGGCTTTTCATCATTTTGTGGGGGAAAAAATTGCTTCCAACATATATGAACTCAATTTACGTAACAGGAAGTTGGTGCATTTATCTTTCTGAAAGTGTGTGTGTTGGAAAATATGTAACTGAGTAAGGATCAGACTTCTGCCTGTCAAAAAGTAGTTGGTCTAGGAGTCCTAAACCACTTAGACATGTTTAAAATACTGCCTCTCTACTGTGACCAAGTAGTCTGCTTGCACACTTGCTGCATGTAATGTGTGTGCATCCATCATTAAGCTATTGAGTGGTGGAATTGGAGGACTTGAAAATATCAGAGAAAGCATTCATAGTGATGGTTTTCATCTACACTAAAGGAAGCAAAAGTCTCTGTGAGTTTGCATAGAGTATATCACAGTGGCTTATTAAACTCAAATGGGCATTTTAGGGAATTGTTGTAATGTTAGTAGCAGTGGTTATGATCGGGAATATCTTGAACAGATGTTGGATTTGTAATGTCTTTCAGTAATTTGATAATAGATCAAAGAAGTCAGTCATAAAGCAGAACATATTGCTTTAACAGAATCCTTGAAATAACAACAGTGAATAGGCATGTCTTACCTCTGGACATATTTCTTTTTATTCTGCTTGCTTGCTTTCAAATTTTCTTAGCTGCATTGGATATAGAGTTGTATTCATTGACTGTAGTGTTTCTCTTGCACAGCAGAACAGTAATATGGCAAATGAATCTAACAGGATTTTTAAAATCTCTAGGTGTTATAACTGATCAGGCTATGAATTAAATATATATTGTCCTTGGAAGCTCTCAAAAATCATGCCAGTTTGTGTTAAAGAAACTTAATTTGGCAGTAGGGATACTACCCACTTAGCTAGCTGGACAATAAACACCTGCCTGTCTTGTCATCTCAAGGAATGAATGATAATTTTGTATAAACAGTTCTTAGGAATGATGTAGAGCAAAAGCATTCCCGGTAATACTCACTGAACTTAATTGGATTTATATAATTCTGAATTTGGCTTGTTATTGTGAAAGTGCTTGCCAGAAAACTTGTGTTTTGTACCTTGATTCTTCACATTGTCAAATTAATCAAGAAACAGCCTAAAAATCATGAAAGTTGATATCAAATTAATGCATCTGCAGTGCTGTCTAATTTCTACACATCCTCTAGAGTATTGCGAATAATGTTGCGAATATTCTCTAGAGTGTATATATAATGTATTAAATGGGGGGTGGGGGTGGATTTTTGCTCATAGAGGCTGTATTGTCAGCTATATCTTTATAAAATCACCTGCATCAAAGGAATTCTTGTTCTGGAAATCTTCTGTAGCACCTTAATTCCTACATGTGAAGACCAATTTAAAAAAGACACTTGCCTAGCGTTTTTGAATTTGGAAAGATGCTTAGATTATGCTTTTGGGCCTGGGTCCGAACTGCTAGCTACTCTAGGGTAGAATGAGTAGCGTGGAAGTGATTCAGGTCACCCGGAACTGGAGAGGTTTTGAGGTGCCTGATGCAGTTAGTTACACATGGACTGTGCAGCTAGGCTTTCCAAATGGCTTCTAACAAGAGTAAGCAAAGCATTTGAATTACAGTACTCACAAAATATTATATTAAAGGTTACCAAAACCCTCAAGTGAACACTAAATGTTTATCATAATTTACTTCAGTAGTAATATGAAGCACTGGCTCAGTTATGCATGCTTTTTTTTTTTTTTCCCTGGGCAGCATGCAATGGGATTTTTGGGTGGCTAACCATGGAATGATACTAATGGCTTTCTTTTTTTTCTCTTCACATCCCATTCTTTTCCATACCTTTTTGTCCATTTTCTCCCTTTTTTTCTCTGTTTTGTTTGCCTTATATGATTTTGACACCCTTCCATTCTACAGTGTGACCAAGATCAGTGCATTCAGAGCACTAAATTCGTTTTGCAGGCCGCTGCCACCCCCCTGCTACAGAGTGAGCCAAGCATAACTAGTGAAGAGCTACCTTTACCAGGAAAGACTACTATCAGTGGGCCTTGTGCAACTCTAACTCTAGGGCAACCAACACCACCATCTTCTATGCCAAATCTCACATCAGATACAGGTTTGACAGACATGATACCATTAAAAGAGGAACACGAAGGTCATCAGTTTCTCACTCCTGAAGAAGCTCCATCACCCCCTGGGATGCTGCCAAGTGGAAGTCCTATTACACACAGCCATACAATGCACATCCTGAGTCTAGCCAGCCAGGATTCACTGCATGAAGACTCAGTACGTGGTCTCGTGAAGCTTAGCTCAGTTTGAACAGCTTTTTTGAACATTGCACCGTTTCTTGGTGTCTATACAAATCTCTGCTTAACAGGAATGACACTGCAGTACCACTTAAAGACTTCGTAACATGCCTATAATGGAAACTTTAACGCGTAATGGAGTCTACTAAAAAGACAAGTTATTTTTTCAATGGAGCTATGGCATTTTTCTGACCAGATTGTTAATGGTTATGCTTTGATGGTAACTGCATTTTATTTTTAAACAAAACCAGAAACGGTCAATAATCTTGTTTCCTGAAGCTTGGGGTACAGCAAGTTGGAAGTCAGCCTGTTACAAACACCATGTACAGTACAAAAGAGAGAGATGCTTGGATGTAAGTGTCATGCTCTGTGTTCTATGCTCTTGTAATACACACTTGTTAAGGCTTACCACACTTGTGGCCAGAATGATCTGCACTTACATGTTATGCTACTAATATTTGAGATAGAAAATTACCATTCCATTTGTTAATACAAAAAAAAAAAAGACTGCAGGTATGGATTTGCATGCCACGCTACAGTATGTGTTACAGTGGTGTTGGTATTAAGAGAAAGTGCTGCTTTTTTATTTGTGACTTTCAAAGTGCTGTTTCATTTAAAGACAGTGCAACAAACAAATTAATGGACTATATTATTTTTTCAATTTATTAAAGTTTATTTTAAATTAATCAGTGGTGCCTAGAAGATGGAGAATTACTGATTTGATCATGTTGCATATCATTTAACCTTCTGTTTAAGTGTTTAGAGTGAAGTATTGTGTTGTGCCATACCACGAGATTCTTCCACTCCCTAATGTGATACAATTACCTGTGGACCTCCAATAAAATGACATCCTCTATTTCTTGGACATGTGTACAGTTATCCTTGCACAGTTTTCCTGGGGTAAGAGGGGGAAATCATGACTTGTTGACATAGTTTGTAAAGATTTGACTGGAATATGTTTACACAATGAAACTAGAGCTATGGAGGAAGAGCTGGTTACAATTGCTTCAGCATCTTTTATGGTTTTGTTTGAGATGTGTATTTGTTCCCATAAGAAGTCTTTATTTGGAAACAGCAGAGTAAGCCTCTGCTTGGACTGTAATTCTGTGTTCGTTATCATATGGCTAAAGGGTGAGGGGCTTAAGATTCAAGACAAAGACAGGCAGCTTAGTGAAGTAATCTTAAATGGGTAACAATTGACTGTAGCCACCCCCGGCCATCATCTTTCATTTGTATTTGTCCTTTATTATTTTAGATGGAAGTCTTGATTTCATAGAATATCCTTCTGTGCTTTTTTTTTTATTATTTAAGTAAAGAACAACTAAAAGGTTAAAGAGATTTTTATAATTTTTCATGACAGCTGAGAAAGTTTAATAGCTTTAATACTGTATTTACCATGCTTTTTAGGATGTGGAACCTGGATTCTTCTTTTCTCAGGACAAACTAAGTGCAGAATGTACTTCATCTGATGTTCTGTGGCATGAAACTGTTCACCAGTTAAGAAATGTGACAGTTCTGTATTGTTCACCATGGTCATTGACTGACACCAAACTAAAAATCTTTTTGTTTTTACTTCCATTGTTGAAATTGAGGACAAGCAGCCTGCAGAAAAGAGTCACCCATGCTATTGAAGCATCAGACAAGATACTGACAAAAACCGTACTCCTCTAAGACTTCATAAGAAATCTGTTTGTATAATTGATGATGCTAGCTTTGACCTAATTCAGCACGTAGAACATAGCAACGCTTTCTGTCTATAACTGCCGTAATGGGTCCACCAAAGAACCTCTGGCAGACAAGTCTGTCCCAGCTATTGGAGCCACCCTCCCAGCATTTTCCTGAAGCTGGGACAGTCTCCAGTTCTTTCTACCAGCCAGACTGTAGTGACTGACGTGTATGTCCCAGTTGGCTGGTTTCCCAAAAAGCCCCAAGTATCAGCACTTATTTCTGTGTCTGCTCTCGAAGAAGAGTCAGTGATGCTCATCTTCTTGATTTCATCATTCCATGATGTGGCATCTCATGTATGAAGCCATGAACATCTGCATTAAAGCAGGTAACGGGCTGAGGGCTGGAGAGACTGGTCACATAGACCTGGGTAAAGAATCCCAGCTTTGAGTTTGTAGAGCAGTACTTGACTGACATTGTATCATAGGTGTCTGTGGGTACTTAACTGTGGATGCATTCATTGCTACACAGAAGGACAAGTCAATTATTTTTAATGTGGTATCAAAACTTTCCAGTTGTAGCAGTAATGATGAGGAACACTATTTTAAGGAAATTGTTCTTTTTAAGTCCCCCTGAAATACTCGAGGGATTTTATGCTTCCAAGAATACCAACGTCGTGACAATGTTTGTATGTCATTGCCACGAGGGAGTGGTGCAGAAAGCTGCACTTCAGCTCTGTGCACACAATGAAATTAGTGTCAGTTTTAACATGAAACAGAAGGGATAAGGATAGGATTAGAGTCTTTATGCTGTTTTCCTTGTGCCCATGCTTTTCACCATCATTTTTTGAATCTTCTGTTTTGTTTATAAGTGAGGTGTAAGAATTACTTAACAAATTGGAAGCAGATGTGCTACTTCAAACAGATCTGCTAGCTATGTACTTGTTCAGGTGACTTTTTTTCTCCTTTTAGTTTTTAAGATGACAGCCTTATTTTTTTAACACGCTGCCTATGTTTTTAAGTTTGGCATTTGAGAATAAATTAAATACTTTGAATATGTCTATCTCTATATCACCCTTATTTTAAGTCTATTTTCCTTCCCATCTCAGTCTTTAAATGGTGACATCTCTAATCTCCCTGACACGACTGCCTTGTGAGGACATCTGCTGGAAGATTTCGGAACTAAGTCACCCATATGGTGCGGGTAATTGCAGTCTGATTGACAGCAGGCAGTGATTTAACAGCAGGTTGATCTAAGAGGTACGTCTAACAGGGTTTTTGGTCTGTTCCCCTCACCTCCATCAGAGTTGTCTTCAGTTGTGGGCACTCACTTCGTTGGAACTTGTATATACATCTGGAATGAGTCAGCAAAGTAACTATTCATCACCTACTCTACAGATTTTTATTTTTTTTTTACTTTGAACTGTGATTACAGACCATGCGCCCTAGAGATCCAAAATGATAATCCTAGTGAATACTGCACAGGGTTTTTTCTATGTTTTTTTCTTTGACAATTAGTATACTAATATTAAATAGGTCTTTCCATGTTCATCTGATTTATAAATGTAGAATTGAAGTGAAAGTTGATGTTTTCAGAAAAGTAAATATTTTTTTCCTTAAAAATCTAAAATCTTTGAATGTGTAAAACTGGTTAGTTTATCTGATAAATATTTATTCTGCTTTGTTTTTTTAATAACATTTTTCCATTCTAGGTGGCTATATAATATTCTATGTAGAATGAAATACAACGCTTCATAAAATGTTTTTAAAGGCTCTTTTTTCTTTTGATTTCTCAAAGACATTTCTATTTTAAAAGGGAGTTTTTTATTCCTATCAGTTAAATAGTAATATAATGTCAAAATATTATTCTGGTTTTGTATTATAGTGCATCCTTTATCAACTTTTCATCTGTTCATGTTAACTGATAGTACAGGTAGATGTATTTCTGCATAAAGTGGTTAACGCATGCATTAAAAATAATCTTATAGATGGAAGATTAGTTGTTTTGCAGTTGATCCTAGTGAATGATCCTGGAAGTAGAAAACTGATCTCATAAACCCAAAGACCTATGGGTTAGCAACATGTGCTACAAGGGGGATGACCAACTTGTGGTATTGCAGATTTTGTATTTGTTTAAATCTCTACAGTGAGTATAATAGTTCACTGTAAGTAAATTATTGCCTAATGTTCAAAATACTAAATGAAGGAGCATCTCTGCAGAACTAACAAAACTGAGCTTCTGTTTGTCTTTCAGTTCCCAAATTCAATACAGCTTGAAGAACAACTCAGCAATGTTATCAATCCTCACTTTAGTTCTCTCCTGGTTTAAATTATATGTAGGGACTGTCATCACATATTTATTGGTTATTATTTTTTTTCCCTTCCCTTTCTTATCAGCAGTTGTACCCTGAAGATGAACATGGTGCGTTCGACCGTGGGCCAGCCTGACTCTGTTTTAAAAATCAGTTACTGCCTAAATGATTGTTTTAAGGGCTGAAGTGAAATGAGGTAGTACGCTTCCAACACACTTTCAAATATTCTTAGGCCCAAAATATGAATGGCATGTGTTTTAGACAGTTCGCGTATAGATTTAGTTCATTTAAACTAGAACTGTCCCAGTTTTCAGGATCCGTCTCGGTCAGGGCTTCCTGGTTTTGATTGTCTGCCTGCAAAGACATTGTAATTTGATATCTGGCTAAGTGCACTGCCTGGACTTCCAAAAGACTCATGGGATTAAGGTGAGCTATTTAAACCTGTGCAAATCTAGATTAATTCTGAGTTGATGCAGCAATTCAATTCCATCACCAGAAGGCAACTCTCTGTTAACATTCAACTATAGAATTTGAAAGTTCACCACAAACAATGCAGGGTGGGGAGGAGAACAACTTTTGGATGTTATGAACAGATAATATAGGAGTTTGTTTCTAAGGTAGGTCAGAGAGGACAAGAATAAGAAGATGAAAGGGAAAAGACTGAGTGAAAGCAGAACAAAGAAGATTAGCGGGTGACATGGAGGAAAAGAGGAATTACCTGTAAGCTGTGGAAGGAGAGGGAAGGGGGTATAAACAAAAAAGCCACATAGGTAAAAAAAAGGTGACAGCTGTCAATATTAATCAAACAATATTTTCATGAGGAATTTCTTAAAAATCATTCTGGAAAAAAAAATTAAGAGAAATAAGGTCAGACTTTTGAGAGAAAGCAACTGTAGGAAGATGATGAGAAAAACGCGAGTTGATCTGCCCTCAAGCTCCTCTCCCCTAATATCTTTTCCTACTTCTGTTTTAAAAATACATCTGTAAATATAAAAACAGGTGAAATCTTTGTCCCTTTGAAGTTGATGGGAAGTTTAAGACATTGACCATGCTAAAAATGGTAATTGCTTTAGCATTTTGCATTTCCATACTGAGAACTGTTTTAGCATTCTATATTTCCATACCAGAAGTGTCACTGCACAAGAAAAAGTGTTTTCCTAAGCAGTAGTCTCGCCAATTGGAGATGAAACCTGGAACTCAGTCGGAGTTTCTGTGACTAGTGTGCAAATAGGAATTAAGACTACAGGCTAGATAAACTTTGTGGTTTACAAACCAAAAAGTGCTGTCCCACAGAGATATTTACTTTGCAGTATATACTGAAGTTGGTTCCACTGGCAACAAAATGTTAATGCCAGTGTTAACCCTGATGTATTTTATGCCCTTCCCAACTTCAGCTACGTTGCCTCTTCTGAAAACTTGGAAAAACAAAACTAAGTTTAACCCCACTATAATTAAATCTCACCGGTAACAGCTGCTGGGATTTAGCTGTGGTTATGGAAAAGACACGAAGGGACCACCTTAAAGCAACTTGTCTGAGTGATCTGTGGTGTGAGGAGAACTCTTGGAGCCTTTCTTGGGCTCCTTTTGAAAGCACCATATGCAATTGAGAAGAGGATGTGAATTTAGCAGGCTCAAAAGTATTTAACTTTAGTGTTATGCTCTGTAGTCTGTCCATAGCAATCTGCAGGGATCTGATGGCGCTGGGGACTGCCCGTTGTAAGGTGGACTATTTAGGTGTCGTACTTGTTAGGGAGTGAACTTAAAAGAATGGTGAAAAAGTTCAGTCAAGGTGGTGGCACTGTTGTTAAAGCAGTGTTCCTGTGAAGGGTACGAGTAAGTGATTCCTGTTGCATATGTGTTCGCTAAGCATGAGGGTTTTGGTAGCAATGGTGTTAAAAACCCT